TAGGTGTGCAACTCAGATATCCATATATGGTGAAATGCCATAAAGGCCCTGTTTATTGTGCATGCAAATAAAATGTATTGCTAAATAAGCGCGTCACAGAATAGATCCGTGGGAAGGTTTGATTGTGTAAACAGAAATAAGTGAGATTATTGCCATATTCAGAAAGAGTCGTAAGATGAGATGTAGGATGCTCAATACATGCTTTCTGAATATTACCAAAAAACAATTCAAGAGAAACACTGATCAGTTCTTTCACATACCCACACATTTGCATACTTATTTCTAGAAATTTTGCAATTTTTTGACCATCTTTCATCACATATAACACAAATTACATAGTCTAATTTGTTCCCTAAAATACATTTTTTGAGTTTAATACTTTAAAATGATCCCAATGTTGTTTTTAAGAGCCTAAACATAAATGTTGAATTGCTTCATTGATGTTTGGCCAACCTATTGGTGAGTTTCTGAAAAAGCAAAAGACATTATAGATTTTAATGCTGTAATATTTTTGTTGCATATTTGTAAGAGTATAACGAGTACAGTGAAGGATATTAAATGTTTCACTCTTTCCTGTAGGATTATTTGTTTTCCTCCACAGGTGATGATGATGAGATTACATCTGCAGCAGTAGTTGCCATGACAACATTTACTGTCACTATAAAAATATTTTCAATTTGTTCAACTTCTGGTTGATGTATTTCTCACCATGTGATAAGTACATATTAATTTTTCTTCAAGTCTATTATTGAAAATAAAAAAGTATATTTTGAATATACTTTAAAGTTTACTCTAAATAAACTTTGAAGTGTACTTAACGTATACTAAAAATATATTCAAATTAATAAGAACAGAATATTTACTGTTCAACAATCGCTGCTTGACTGTAAAGCCAAATTCTAGTTTTGCATTTTGCTCATTCTATCTTTCTGTTTATTTTTGTTCCTGTTTATGGAATTTACAAATGGTGTTGATATTTAGGAGGACCGGTAAGTTGAATGTTTATTTTATACTTATTTAAGTTTTCAAAAAAATGCTGTAAAATCCTTAATTATTCACTGGGCAGTTAAAATTATGTGAAAACTTAAAATTACAGTTGTAAAATTTGTGAATTTAAAAAATAAGAGTATATAATGCAAGATTGGGAAGAGGCTACATGCGATATGAAGGAGACAGTTTGGTCTAGAAATTGGAAGGAGAAACATCTCATAGATTTTAGCTGCAACTGATCTCAGGAAAAAAGATTACAGTGAACTGGTTGTTGTGAAATTGTCATTAACATGTTTTTATGTTTTTATAAATTAATAGAAAGGTGAGAAAGGAGAATCAGGAGAAGAATCAAGTGGCTTCGTAAGTAAAAATAATAAAAATTAATTTAAAACAAAACATCGGTCAATTTTATTAAAATTTATGAACTTAAATTAAATATAACTGATGAAAAAAGAAATATACATTCTTGCAGAAACAAATATTATCAAAATTATCAAAAAATATTATCGATGTTGTTATTAACAATATCGTCATGTGTATTTTTTTTAGCCAACTTTCCCTCCAGGTTCATATGGCCCTCCAGGAGTTCCAGGAGCACCGGTAAGTTATTTCCATACCTCTCCAAACAACTTGAAGCCATTATTAATTAGTAGATCTATAGCACATATTTGACCTTGTCCGTACGTATCATCATAGATGAAAAGCAAAGCATATGAAGGGAAAATGTCTGTCCTAATAAAAAAAAGAATAGTAATCTTCAGAAGGTCCTTATAATTGAAAATCATGAGAACTTATCTTATAACTATAAATGATTTCTTCACTGTAACCACCAAAGATTTTGAAATATGACAAAACCTTTTTACCAATGAAACTACAGATGAATGGCTCAAAATCACTATTTACGAATGTTTGACCTGTGTTCTGTACAAAAGGTGGTTTAGCATTGATTTTTTTTATCTGGGTTTTGTAACAACAGCGAATCTGATTATATTTTTATTTATTTATTTATTTATTTATTTATTTATTAACACACAACATCCCCCGGAGGGGATGAAAAGGGTTACAAATCAGATATTAGTAAAAGAAAAATAACCACATAAATAATAATAAAAATAATAAAAATAAATAATAATAAATAAAAGAAAAGTAGCCAAATACCTTAAATTATCTTTCTACAAAATTCAGATTGGTAATTAAATCATGGATGCAACAAGTAATTATGAGATGATGTTTTTCATAAGTGTTATATAAAATCTGGCAATTTAACAAATTAGTTCATGTCTGTTAATAAATGTTGCAACAGATGTTGTGATGTGCATTGGTTTTAAGCTTTGATGTTCCCAGACACGGAACTTTATATGACAGTTTGTAATTTTTGGTCAAAACTGGTATTTTTCATGAAAACTACCATCCATTTTGTTTTAATGAGCCATATTACTTGACACTCCTTGACTGATTGCAATCAAAATCACACAAGTGTTCTGACTGGAAATGGCTGAATTGCTACAGTTTTTTGTTTTACTTGTTTACAACAAAAATTGTAAAATATTATCATCATTATTATTGTCTTGTAGGGAGGCCATGGCCCACCAGGGTCATCAGGTCAAACTGGACCCCCTGGACCAAGGGTAAGTTATTGTCTCAGTTTTACTCAGGGTGGTAGGGGGGTGTTTTTTTATTAATAGGGAGGTGCTGTATTTATGGGGAATATTTAGGTTCTGAGGTACAATGTAGCTTGATATTCTTGATTTTCATCTAGGTCATCTAAAACTATCTGATTTTGTTGCAACTGGTAGCAGAATAATTTATTTTTCTAACGAGTTTGCCATGTATAGAAAAAAACATGCAAAAATCGAGCATCAACAGATCAATATGAATACTTGAAAATTCTTGTATTAATTTAATAAGCATATACGCATTTCCAGTGCTATACTACAAACAGATCATTAGGACCTTAGTTATTACCAAAAAATGCTGTTTCATGCATTTCTAACGCTGAAAGTCTCACAGAAGTTTCCCATACAGCTCCTTCACACCACTGTACTTAAGAGCAGACCTACTTTTTTGTGTTTTCCAAAGTTTCCTTAGCTATCATATTTTGTCTTTATATAATTCCTTGAGCTGTCATGCAATCATATGTGTATACAAAAAAGTGCGTAATCTCACGGATTTGCCTGTAAAATGTTACCTTGTGGCAGAGACCGATTTAGGATGCTGCACATATGCCATCAGTGTTAATCAGTCAATAATAGGTGATTTTCCGTACAATTGCGAGATCTCGAGATGCATGAAAGACGCGCGTCGAACGTCTGCCGCAAAAAATCGAACGATTTGATTTTGAACTAAAATTTCTTTATTTCGTAGCTTACATTGACCGGCCGATCTTCGACAGAGGAATATTGCTTCCGAATACCCTTACTTAATCAAAATTGCTTATCATCAAATGTGGACAGCACATTATTAAGCATGGAAATGTCCTCGAAATACTTTCGCGTTTGTCGAATTCCACGCGATGTTTGACGCGACTACGATGCTATGACCTTTGTTTGTCCTGTTTTTACGTTCGATTTCACGCATAACGCATGATTCTCGCAGTGAACGGAAAATGGTCTATTGGAGAATGATGAGACTGCCCTTTGCAATCATATTATGCTACTTAAACCAGTTTGTTTGCAGATGTCATTTATGCAATTATGATACCGTGTTCTGACAAGTTGCAAGATGCTAGTCACCAGACGTTGCTGTATATGCAGGAGTACTTGTTCGATTCAATGGCATCTTTTTTGATTAGCTTTTTTATGAACATAATACTCAAGACATACGCTAGGCTAAATACAATAGCAAGACCTATATTTGGAGATTATGATTTGAATATTGACGACTCGAGTTAGCACAATCAACAGTAATAAGGTCTTATTTCGAAAGTATGATTAGACTATTCACGCAATCTAGAAAAAGGTTTTATTTGGCGATTGTGATAATGTCATCATCAGTAACAAGGTCTGTATTTGGAGATTACGATTAGAGTATTCACGCTTTTACATAATAATTAACAGTAACATAGTCTTATTTAGAAAGTATGATTAGACAATTTACGCATTCACACAATCAACATTAAGGTTTTTATTTGGGGATTGTGATAATGTCATCATTAGTAACAAGGTCTGTATTTGGAGATAACAATTAGAGTATTCACGCTGTAACACAAACAGTGATAGTAAGCTTTATATTTGGGGAATTAGAATTGACATTAACAACGTATGATGTTATTAGTCACAGATTATTACATAATCAACAATAAGAATGTCTTTTTTTGGAGAGTGTGATTGGAAAATTTACTATTCATGCTTCTGTGGAAAAATATTGTGTTAAGTGGTGAAGATTGTATTTCCGCA